GGGGGTGGGGTGGAGTGGGTGGGGTTGGTCGGGGGAGATTTGGCTTTAATTGCTGCGGCTGACCATTTGGTTTTGGTCAGATAAGGAGCTGGGCTGGGGCAGTACTGCAGTTCTGTGGCTGAAGACAATAATGGTGCAATGTTGGGCTGAGGTGGGTAGCCAAGTTTCAGCTAGGTCGCCCACCCCCTCCCTCAGACAACAAGCCAGCTGTTAGGAACACAGCTGTGACTGCCTCATGGGGGAGGAGAGAGAGAGAGAGAAAAGGCCCTGTTGCCCTGGGTGAGTTCCCAAGCTGTGGAGTTCAAAGCAGACCTGTGAAGTCAGAGGCTGCAGCAGAGAGCCAGGAGGGAGGGGGTGAGAAGTCAGTGAGGGGCAGAGAAAGGCTCCACTGCCACTTTGATGTCCCAGCACAGAGCTTGAGCCAGGTCTGGGTGGGGTCCCAGCAGATGGCTTCAGCTTTCCTCCTCAACTGAAAGCATTCGAGAGAGCCAGAGAAGCACACTTTCCTGTCCTTTAGCTAGGATGTTTATTTACGTCCCTGATCCTAAGCCATGACTGCGTGAGTCCAGTGCACACGCAACTCCACCACATACACGTAGGCAACTCTTCTGTAGCCGTGTGTGCCCCACTACATGCAAGAGATCACATTCCCCTACACACATAGATGCGTTTACCCATTGCACATGCGAGTAAGCACACCATTGTGGATGCATGAATTCACACACTTCGTGCCATTCATATCTGCAGCCTGTTCACAAGTATCCCGAGACTTCACATCTAAGAGACTTCGCATCACGTATAAAACTTGAACTCACTAAGTGCACATGACACTGTCTATCCCAGAGCAGGCCTAAGGCTGTCTCTGCTTCCTGTGTCAGGAGTCAGTCTGTGGGCAAGGTGAGGGGGGGGCTTCTAAACCACCAACTCTAGAATTCTCACACTCCCAGCCGTGTGCACTCTTCTCAAAGGGCATAGAACAGGTGGAAGGCACTTTTCGGTTAGGAGGTGTTTCTCTCTGACTTGTCACAATACCTGGCAGAAGAGAGAGAAGTCCCCTGGGAAACCTGCTCCTTTCTCTCCTGGGCTAGCTAGCCCTGGGGACTCTGGCCAACAACTCTGTCTTAGCTTCTGCTTTACCAGATGGCTGCAAGTAGATTATTTTGGATCAGTTTTGCAGAAAGTTGCCCTTGCTGTTATAGTGGAATGGCCCTGGGGTGAAGACTCAAGTTGTTACCACCCCAGTGTTTTCATTCAACATTTAGTGGCTGCTAAGCAGAGAGGTTGGATGGTGGACAGCCGACTGCCCCAGGCCTGGGGTATTTGTAGTTTGTGGACAGCCTCTGAGTCCTGGAGCACACAGCGCTGACCTTCAACCTCAGTTCTCGTTACCAGTTTTGCATCTTTTGTAATGGATAGTGCAGTGGGAGACAGGGATGAATCTGCTCCAAGCTGGGTGAGGAGCGAGCCTGACCCTGACTGTCGGTGTTGGGATCACTTGGGCCACCTGGCTCCAGCTGGCTCTAGACTGGAGGCTGGGTTTTATCAGCACCCCACCACTCTAGGCACAGATCATCAGCTTCTGCTCCATCCCTGGTTCCCAATTCCCTTCCCTTTCAATGGAGTCAGAGAATTAAAGAGATGCTTCCATATTCTTTCCCATGGAGAACTCTGGGCTTGCATCTGGCTTGGAATCCAAGTGGGACAGCTGGGAGAGAGAGATGTGATTTCAAGATTGTTGCATGCCTCCATGATTCCGACCCTCTGTGTTCTCGGTTGCCTAGGATGGCTTCTGGATCTTTCTGGAGACAAAAAGGAAATATGTGTGTGACTGATAGTGATGTCAGAATATGTATTTATCCTGGAATGACTATAGCAGGAGTCTACTCTTTATCTGATCTGACCTGAGAAGATTGCCCCCTGCACAACTCTTAGATCCCTCCAGACAGGCAACTAGATCTGAAGTGGCTGAAGGGTAACTATTTCTACTCAGTCACACTGCCATTCTGCCACCTCTTCAGAAGAAGCAAGTGGACTTGTTTACTGTGAGGCTGATGAAACCCCAGCTCCAGGTGAAACTGTGTGATGGCTACTGTTCAGTAGAGTCAAGGTTCCAGAAGTAGAATCTTGTTATCTTTTCAGTTAGCACAGCCAACCAGGTGTTCTTTCTGGCAAATACATAAATTATAGCCGTTCTAGCATCCTCCATCTCTCTCTAATGCTTAACATGTGACAATTCCAATTTTAAAGGGTTGAGGGCCTTTAGTGCAAGGGTAAGCAAGTTACTTGACCTCCCTTGTGTCCCAATTTTCTCATCTTTTAGCTAAGTTTAAATAAAAGCATACATTTCCTAAGGTCTGTGTGAGTGTGTGTTTGCACGTGTGTGGGTGGTATATGTGCATGGGCATATGAGTGTGGGTAATGTATGCACATGTACATTTGCGTGTGCTGGTGTGTTCACTTGTGCATATGGAGGCCAGAATTTGATGTTGGAAAGGTTTTCTCAATTGTTACTCCACTTTGTTTTTTGTTTAGTGTCTGTTATTGAACTTAGACCCGATTGCTTTGGCTAGACTGGCTGGCTAGTGAGGCCCCAGGATCTCCCTGTTTCTGACCCATAACACTGAATTACAGATGCCTGCAGTCTTTCTTGCTTTTATGGGGATGCAGGGGATTGCTGGGGATATGAACTCATGCCCCCAGGCAGTCTTCCCAGCCTACTCCTCACATTGTTTTGATGTGGAAAGAGACAATAAAACCCAGAAGAATGCCTGGCGCTCAGTGTGTGAACAATGTATAGTGCTCACGAGACTCAGACAGGCCTATAATTACTGCTACTTCTAGCTATAGGTCAGGAGAGACCCTAGGACTTTCCTTATCTTTCTCTCCATTCATCTTTCCTGTGGAGATTGCATTCTAAGAGTTTGGCCATGGTTGTTTTCATTTTTTCTTTCTTTGCATTGTATGTTCTGGCTGCTTTGTGTATCTTCTTTGTGTTTCTTCTTCCTCCTATTCTCAGGAAGCTCCTCCTACACAAAACCTACGAACTGGAGATACTAGGATCTCTTTTATTGTTCTTGTTTTATGTTTTGATATGGGTGTTAACGGACTTGGACTAATGTATCTTCAGTTTCTGCCTCTCAACTGCTGGGATTATAGGAATGTACAACCATGCCTGGCATCTAGTCTACCTTTCTTTTCAAAATGGAATTAATTCCCCATGGTAATGAATCTGGAAATTTCTGATAAACATTCAGAATTAGACATTGTCTTGAAAAGTATTGAGGTATGGTTAACATTGGTTCACATTCCCGCAGAGACCAGAGACCAGAACTGAGGAGGTCTCCTGTCTTATTATTTTATTTGAGACAAAGTCTTACTATGTTGCCCAGGTTGTCCCAAAACTTTTGGATGCAAGTGATCCTCCTGCCTCAGCCTCTAAAGTAACTGAAACTACAGTAGACATGCACACTGCCTTCCCAGTTTCTTTTGACAAACTCCAGTTTGTCACAGTCTCCTTGTTATCACAAACTTTGTCCAAACACATACTTGGCTTGTACATGCAGGTATCTGAATTTGGGATCTCAACTTGAAGGTTCCTGCGGCTGTCAGCTTTCTAAGGCCTTTGACATGGATGGTTAAGACAAAGTTTTGGCTCATTTCATTCTAGCCCAACTTTTCCCTTCCCTCTCTCCTGCATCTTCTCTTTTCCTCCCCCCTTCTCCTTTCCTGTCTTCCAACCCCCACCCCCAGTGTGGGGAAGGGTGGAATCCAGGGCCTCACACTCTACTATTAAGTTAAGCTTGTAATCTTCCCAGCCAAATTCAGGTAGCTTCCCTCACTCTTGGGGGTTGAGGTAGAAAGGATGCTTTAAAAAAATCTTATCTCGTGCATCCTTCCTCTTCCTGAAGAAGTCCTGGTGAAGAAGCCAGATGGGAGAGTGACTATTATAACATCTGCTCAGGGGTGGTTCCTTATTCTGTGTCCTCCTTGAACTCAACTTCCTGACCCTATGTGGTCTTATGAAACCTCTTGGCCCATGGATATTGGTTGGTAAGAACCCGAGGACTGAGTTTGTGATCTTAACAAGCAGTGACCCATACACGTGTTCTCCTTTTCTCTCTCTTTCCCCGATTAGTCCACTTACTTATTCAGCCAGCCACCAAAGATCCCTGATGACATGACATCACGTGTTCCTTATGAGCTTAGAGAAGAAGTAAACAAACTACCAATCACAACAAAAAGCGACCTTTGGCAAGACACTTACCTTAAGCCTCAGTTTCCCCATAGTCTTAATGACTTGGGTAGCAGTCATTTTGTCCGGGTTTCTTTCAACCCGTGACTCTGTCACCAACTTTATATCACCTCCATCTGTAGATTACAAACTGTAGTCTGCCAGCAGCTTAGGAAATGTGGAGAAATTTCATTATGCTTTTTCTCTGCAAAATACCAAAGTTCTCAGAAAGAGGGCTGGAGCCAAAGGCATAGAGAGGAATGAAGGAAGTGTGGAGTGCCAGTGTCTCATCTGGGTGGGGGTGGGGTGGGAGTGCAGGGTCAGCAGGGACCATCCAGATGCTGGGACCCCCCCTGTGAAATATCACACCCTCTCTGCCCCATGCTTGTCCTGGTCAAACTGGATTTCAGTCTGCATAATTTGTACCAGTTAGGAGGGTTGGGAGAGGGTGCGAACAGGAGGGTGAAGACTGAGGAGGGGATAGGTACCCTGAAAGTCAGGCATGAGGTGGGGGGGCAGAGGTAAGAGTCTGGGGTGAAGGCTGGTGACAGCTAGAGAGAGGAGGCGGGGCCAGGAGGAGCAGCAGGCTTGCAAAGTACAGATAATTGTCAGCCCAGCACAGTAGGGGTCAATTTAGTCTACTTACCCAGTGGCTAGAAGAAGGAGAAAAAAAAAAGTGGGCTGTAACTTAAAGATCTTAAGACTCACTAGAGAGGGAGGAGTTGGCCTCAGGGTGGGAGGAGGGAGTGTGGAGTTTAGGAGGAGACAGAGACTCAGGAGGGTGCAAGGAAGTGTCTTAGCTGAGCTGGGGTGGGAAGGGGACGGACGGTAGGGAGAAGCTGCCGGAGAAGCACATTCTGCTGGGTCTGAGCTTCCAGAGGGGCTTCTTCTGCATGCCAGGAAGGGCACCCTCAGGGCTTCTCTTACTCAGGGTGCTAGCTGAGTTGGTGATATAGCTCTGGAGCTGGTGTCCCTGGGACTCACCGCCTATCTTCACTCCATTCACCAGTATGGAAGATGATAGTTACAACTACTATGGGGCTGACAACCAGTCTGAATGTGAGTACGAAGACTGGAAGTCCTCTGGAGCTCTCATCCCTGCCATCTACATGCTGGTCTTCCTTCTAGGCACCACCGGCAATGGCCTGGTGCTCTGGACCGTGTTTCGGAGCAGCCGGGAAAAGAGACGCTCAGCTGACATCTTCATTGCCAGCTTGGCAGTGGCCGACCTGACCTTTGTGGTGACTTTGCCACTGTGGGCCACCTATACCTACCGGGAGTTTGACTGGCCCTTTGGAACCTTCTCTTGCAAGCTCAGCAGCTACCTCATCTTTGTCAACATGTATGCCAGTGTTTTTTGCCTCACTGGCCTCAGCTTCGACCGATACCTGGCCATTGTCAGGCCAGTGGCCAATGCTCGACTTAGGCTGAGGGTCAATGGGGTTGTGGCCACAGCTGTCCTGTGGGTGCTGGCTGCCCTTCTGGCTGTGCCTGTAATGGTGTTCCGTTCCACGGCTAACACGGAAAACAGCACCAAGGTCCAGTGCTACATGGACTACTCCATGGTGGCTACCTCAAACTCAGAGTGGGCCTGGGAGGTGGGCCTTGGGGTGTCATCCACCGCCGTAGGCTTTGTGGTGCCCTTCACCATCATGCTGACATGTTACTTCTTCATTGCCCAAACCATCGCTGGCCACTTCCGAAAGGAGCGCATTGAAGGCCTGCGGAAGCGGCGCCGGCTGCTCAGCATCATCGTGGTGTTGGTGGTGACTTTCGCCCTGTGCTGGATGCCTTACCACCTGGTGAAGACGCTCTACATGCTGGGGAATTTGCTGCACTGGCCCTGTGACTTCGACAGCTTCCTCATGAATGTCTTTCCCTATTGCACCTGCATCAGCTACGTCAACAGCTGCCTCAACCCCTTCCTCTACGCCTTTTTCGACCCCCGATTTCGCCAGGCCTGCACTTCCATGCTGTGCTGTGATCAGAGCAGGTGCAAAGGTACCCCTCACAGCAGCAGTGGGGAGAAGTCAGCCAGTTATTCTTCTGGGCACAGCCAGGGCCCTGGCCCCAACATGGGAAAGGGAGGAGAGCCGATGCACGAGAAATCCATTCCCTATAGTCAAGAGACCCTTGTGGACTAGGGCTGAGGCCAGAGACAAACCTGGTGCCTTGGGTCTGACCCAAACTTCACCCTCGCTCTCTGAGAACCAGGTAGCATGGCTGCACCTTCTCCCTGACCCCGGCTCCTTTCCCTGCTCCCTGCCTCCAAGCTCTGTCTTGCTTCCACGTCTCCGAGGTTTGTGCTTCAGAGGGAAGAGATGGAGCCTTGCCACAGACTCAGCAGCTCAATGTCCCCGAGGCTGACATCGCACAAGTCTCCTATCCTCTGCAAGCCTCAGTTTCTCTGTTTGTATTAAATGGGAGAATGCTTTATGGACCCTAAAACGTTGAAGATGAGTCCTGACTTAATTTGTTTCCTTCTACTCTTCCTCAGCTTTCTAGCCCCTCCCTTCTCTTCCTTTTTTGTTTTCTCTGCTGCAGATTTTTTTTTTTACTGTTAATTACTCAGTTTCTAGATCTAACTCTTAGTCTTCTAATGGATTCCTAAGGCTGGGCTCCTAAGGGTTAAGAATGCTGAAGCTTGAAGGATAACCCTTTGAGTTCTTATCCTGTTTTCTGAGAGCCAACAGGGCAGGGTGGGCTGTGTGTGTAAGCAAAGAATTAGAGCTCTGGGTCTTTCCAAAAGTTGGATCGATTCACTCTTGGTTCAGACACCAGGGCCAGACTGAGTTTTGAATAGAGATTTCTCTTTGGCAGAATCTCTGTGTTGCTTAGTAGATAATGCACCCAACAACCCAGTGTCCTTGAGAGTTACAAGGCAACAGGGCTGAGGAAGCTGTGGACCACGCTGTTCCTATGAAGGGGCAGTTGGGAAGGGAAACCAGAGAAAGAGGGGTTAGAGGGGAATCTGTATTTAGTCTGTATGCTGCTTGGCTCCCCTCCCCCATCCTCATTACCCCCCCCCCCCCAGAACTGTGAAAAGTAGAGCAGATCTTTCTCCAGCCCCGTCACTCACCCCACCATCTCTAGGATGTTTTCCATAGGTGTTGGTGCTATTTGGCACTAAGAGTCACTTGCTTGGGTAAGACTGTTTGCTTTTTGTCTATGTGGCTATATATAAATGCTACACACACACACACACACACACACACACACACACACACACACACACACACACACGAACTTCATGGATGAAGGAACTTAGATGATCCCCCACTGATTTCCTCCTGCAACTCTGCAGGTCTCACAGTCCACTTGGGTAAGAATGTATATATGGAGAAATGTAGAATAGATGAGTACACCCCCACTGGATTTGGGGAACTCTGACGGCTGGTCCGTATTTAGGAAAGAAATGTATGTGTGTGCTGGGCTTTCTGTAGGGAGCTGTTTCCTCAGTATCATCTGGGAGCTGGGCCCCAGCTTCTCTTCCAGTTCCATAGTGGGAAGAAGAGACTTATAGTTATAACATGGCCCTTCTCCTGTGTCCATACCCGCTTTCCAGCTATTCCTTACCACTCCCACTTTCTTCAGGGTCTGCAGTCCTCTTCCTAAGGATACCACTTTCTTGCCACAGGATGAGAGATACTGGGTGAATGTTTGTTCTCCTCCCCAACAGGACTGAGCCTCTTGGCTTATCTTGCAGGTGTGTGTGTGTGTGTGTGTGTGAAAGTGACTGGAACAGCTGTGGGGGGGCCTTAAGGACAAAATTAATATGGGGCCTTTGTGAGCTGGAAATGGGTGTGCATATTCCGGGTTTTGTTCTTGGAGGGCTCTGGAAACCAAGGACAAGACATATGCCACGGAAACAGGAAGAGCCTGGCTTGATGTGGTTGGACCATCTTTGGCACAAATCCTGCTCCTGAAGCAGAAAGGGGGTTGCTGGGTGGGGGGGGCAACTCCTCTCTGCTGAGTCTCTGTGTGTCTCAGGCCAGAGACTTTCACACAGCTCCTTTCTCTGCCCAGGGCCACCCTCAAACCAGCCAGTAGAGGCTGCAGGAGGCTTCTAGGAGGCAGGAAACCCATCCATGGCATGGGACAGATGCAGCAGTGGAGGCTGCCTCTTCTCCCCACCCCCACCCCTCTCCAGAATGTGCCCTATTCTGATCCTGTTAGTCACCTTGGTTCACCAAATAAAACTGTTTTGTGTAGCTGCTGTGTCTAAAGCCTCCTCATTTGAAAGTGCCTTGAGAGAGGCACAAGAGCCCGCATCTGTGAATATTTCAGTAGAGGTGAGAGAGCACATGGGGGGGGGGAATCAGTGGGAGCCAAAGAGGGAGAATGGGTGGGAACCTGGAAAGGGGGCTGAGAGGAGAGGGAGAAGCACCAGGAAAGTGAAAAGATGGGGACTGGGCAGGGCAAGGGCGTAGCTAAGCCTCATGCTCTAAAATCCACACAACAAATGGCCACACGTTTTGGAAACCAGAGCACAGGTATGAAAAATGACAGCAACTACCTACTCTCTCTGTCCACCTACCTCCATTTACTGTCTCCTGCTGACTTATTAATTCATCTCCAATAATTTCTTGTCACTTGCTGATTGAGTCATTCACTACTACCAGTTTAAGTCAGACATTTGAAGCTCTCCAGTTGGAGCCACTCTGATAATTTTTAAAAATGCCTGTTCCTGGATGTCCCTCAAGACTCATGGAGTCCCAATTTTCTGCACCTACTCCAGGTATTTACAGCTACTAAAAACAGCCAAGGTGGTCTCTGTAGGAAGATCAGGTCCAGGGATACCTCATCCAGATAAAGTCTTCCTGAATTAAGGCAGACACACAGACAAGACAGTTGAGACCAAGAAAATTGCACTCTGGATGGCCATCTATTAGGAGGAGGAAGAGGCTGGAGTGAGCTTTGTGGGGGAAAATATTAGGTTTAGATGTTCTTCAAAGATGGCCTTACTGGGATCAATAATTTTGCAGGTGACACAAAAACAGTCACGAGAGGAGAGAGAGAGAGAGAGAGAGAGAGAGACAGACAGACAGACAGATAGACAGACAGTCAGAGAGGGACAGAGACGGAGAGACTATATTAGCAAGGAGCTTATATTTATACCGTTTTGCAAGTGTGTTAAGAATTTTCCAGGCATTATCTCATTTAATCCTGGCAACCTTCCTCTGAGAGGGGGGTTTGTGCCTCACTTTTCTGATAAGAAATCTGAGACACAGAGATTATCAACCATGGTGGCATAACTCCTATGAGGAAAAGCCAGGCCTAGAGGCATGAATCTAACTCCAAAGCCCACACTCTTGACCATGGAATGCTGCTGTTTCCCCCGAAGTACAGATGAGGCATCACCAGATGGTCGGGAAGGAAAATGTAATCTCATCTGTGAGATGCCAGGCACACATGGAGACCAGGAAGGGTAGGAACTGATAGGGAATGGTGAGGATGCAAGAGAGAGAGACAGATGGGGGAGACAGAGAAACAGATAGGATAGGATCTGTGAAAGAGATGATAACAAGGAGGGAGCACGAGAGAGAGAGAGAGAGAGAGAGAGAGAGAGAGAGAGAGAGAGAGAGAGAGAGAGAGAGAGGGAGGGAGGGAGGGAGAGTGAGAGAGATACAGAGAGAGACAGAGAGAGAGACAGAGAGAGAGAGACAGAGAGAGAGAGAGAGAGAGAGAGAGAGAGAGAGAGAGAGAAGGAGGGAGAGAGAGCATAAGGAGAGGGGACCATAAAGAAGTAGGAAGTAGGGCCACACTGAGGACAAAGTATCCTCTTTTCTTCTTAGAAAGGAAAATCCATCAGGAATTTATGACCATACCAAGGAGCTGAGTTTTTCTTTTCTCTTAATGTGGGTGCTGTTAAAAGTGAAATTTGAATGAAGTTGCCCAGCACGATATATAATTGCAGAGCACCCAATAGTTTAACTGTTCACACACACCTTATTTTGTTTACACACCATGCACTGTTCTGGGTGGGATTAGCGAGCAGACTGCTGGGGCTCACAGGTTGCTGCTGGAGACAGTGCAGTGAGTGATGACAGCAAGAGCGTCAGCTCTGAGAGATGGAAGGCACACAGTGCACGGAGAACCTATCATGGAGGCTTCAGAGTGAGTCTCAGCAGGGCGGCAGAGGAGATGTCAGAGCACCCCAGGAACCTGCCGTTTGCAGTGTGTTTGGCGAGCTGTTAATGTTGGAATGTTTGGGTAGAAGAAATTCCCAGGGATAATGCAGAGCACAGACCCTCTGAGAAGTTGGAAAGGCCCCGCATCCTTACTTCATATATGACCACTCCGAGTCAGGGAGGTGGGCTGCCCAGTCACAGAGAAAAACTAGTCTGAATTTCAAAGCATGGATGCAAAGAAGACTGGGGGATAGGACTAAAACCTGAGTCTTTATGTGAATTGAGGATGGGGATGGACCCTTACAAATTTTTTACTGATTCAAGGCTTTGTCTGTCCTTGCCAACGTGAGTCTTCTTCCAGTCGTCCACCAGGGGACATTAATCAAGGGCTGGGGAATTCTAGACCCTCTTACTCTGGGCTTGTTGGAAAGAGATTCTAAGAAGAGGCATACAGATCCCTTGGCGAAACCTCACTTCCAGAAGCCAGGGTGAAATCTAGGATGGAGATATGTGAGGCTGACCCACCACCTAGCTGACTGCTCTGTCTATGCTTTAGTGAGTTGGCAGCCTGCAGAGCTTGAGCTGAGGGTGTAGCTTTTCAAAAAACATTAAAAACATTTGAAATACCAGGTAGACTCTAGAACTTTTTCCATTTAAAGTTAGAGTGCTACAATGTTAGAGCTAGGTGTGCTGGAGCATACCTTTTATTCCAGCCCCCGGGAGGCAGGGGCAAGTGGATCTCTGTGAACTCAAGGCTATTCTAGTCTACATAGTGAGTTCTAGGCCAGCCCAGGGCTATATAGTGAGATCTGTCTTAAAAAGAGAAAAAGTTACGACAGTCTACACACACACACACACACACACACACACACACACACACACACACACACACACACACACTTCCATTCCATTCTGTGTGGCCACAGTAAAATACTGTAAGCTGATTAGTGTGTAAAGGAAACAGGTTTAGAAAGACAGATCTTGGTTCTGGAGGCCCAAGAACATGATGCTAGCAATTGTTTGTCTCATTGTGAATTGTTTCATCAGTTCATGGTGGAGATGGAGAAGTGGAAGGGGATATGCTCCAGGTACAAAGAGTAGCCTTGCTTTAACAAGCCACTCTCCCAGTAACTAATCCAATCCTATAATATCAAAGCTGCTCCAAGAAGACCATGTCCAGCCTCAAGGGATCGTCCCTAGTCTCTTGAAAAGACACTAACCCACTAATGATGGTACTATTCCTATGAACTTCCCAAAGACCCCATCTCCTATTAATTAAACCGTAATTCGAGGTTTTCCGGGTAACAAGCATGTCTAAACCCTACCATAGTATGTTCATTCAATAACTGTTTACTCACTGTACACTCTTTGCCGAGGGCTATCTTAGAATCCAGGGATAACTGTGGTCAACCGCACATCATCCTGTTTTGTGGAACAATTGGAGAAACTTTCTAGCCTTATTTTCCTCATTGACTGGATAGTACATCTGAGGCCAATGAAGAGGGAAAGGAGACTAATTTACACATGGTCACACAGTGGGAAAGCGGCATGGGTGGGGGACTAGAACTCAGGCTTTAGGCAAGAGCAGGTTTAGACTGGTGAAGGAGATCTTTTATTGCCAAAACAGAGGAAATGGAGTCAGATTGAAGAAGAGCCCTGACTGGGAAGGGAGAGATGGTTGCTGCTTTTCTAAAGTTTTGCTACATCTTTTGTTTGAGAAGAACTTTAGATTGGGAATCATACTGCTGATTCAGTACAGAGAGCTCCTGTACATTCCACACTCAATGTCCTTTTTAATTAATGCCTTACACTGGTGTTATACACTTGTCACAGTTAATGAACCATGTTGGTACATTACTATTAACTAATGCCTATTCTTTGCTCAGGTTTCCCTACTTAAAAAATAGGAAAACAAATCCAAACCTAATGTACTTTTTTCTGATGCCGCAATTCAGTTATCACGTCTTTTAGGCTTCTCATAGCTCTGGAAGCTTTATATTTGACACCTTTGAGAAATACTGGCTAGGTATTTTGTTTCATGGCTCTTTGTAAAATGAACATCTTTCTAAACTCTCCATTTGCTAGACCTATGCTAGGTGGTGAGGAAAATAAAACCCAGAAAATAATGTTTAAGTCACTCATGCTCTTCTGTAGTTTAACAATACATAACAAGGGGTAATCAATGCCACTGCCGGCAAATCACAGGAAGCTGTGGAGGCGAACATCTTCTGTTTGTACGATGGAGAAGTCACACATTAGAGCTTATATACTGGCTGTAATATGGGTCCAGACTCATGGGGTTTAAGTGCCTGGCATTCTTTCTTCCCCAATCACCTTAAGACCCATTTGCTTGCCTGTGTTAGTGGAACCTGGAGTGTATGAGACAAAAGAACATTTGTGTTTGATGGGCACCTCATGTCACGCACGGAGCCTTATTCGGTGTCACTCCATTGTGTGGCACACTTCTTAATTGTGTGTCTGTCTAAAGCTGCCCTTAGTTGTATCATGGATGAATTTCTTAAACCTGGTTGACACACACCACTCAGTCAACACCCTGTTACTACTCAATCCACCTTCTTTGGTATGAGGAAGAAGGCTCTAGGAGACCCCAGCTTTTATAAGAGCTCTTCTTTGTTTCCTGTCCCATCCACCCCACGCACAGCTGCTCTAGAGCAGAGCTGTGGTTACAGACTTTTGTATCCAGGGTCCAGGATGCAGTAGGCATACACACAGGCAATTTGCTTAAACAAGTGAACCACTGGGTGATGAAAATGCAGGAGTGAGAGGCGAGAAAAATTGTTTCTTATTTATAGCAAACAAGTCAATTTCTTTCTAAAAGAGGAAGGGAAACTAGATAAATCAGGAACCAGGAGAGAAGCAGGGGGATTGGAGAGTACAGATGTAATTAAACCGAATGGTTTTGTCTTTCACAGTTGCTCCTGGGGAACATACAGTTAGAACAAAGGACAAGTTGGGTCATGGGGTGGGGGCACTTCTGATAATTTTATCTTAATTATTTAATGTTTTCACACATATAGACCTGCATACATGCATGCATACTTACATACATATATACCTGC